TATTAACTGCGCCGGTGACGCTCCTTTTTAATAAATGCAGTGTGTTGTGAATGAACAGCACACCGTGCTTACTTGAGGACTGAAGTATTGTTTACTAAAATAAAAGACAAATAATAGCAGTTAAATGTTTAGTGTATCTTTGCTATTTTTATGATATGTTGGGGCACATTTGGGGTTGAAAATATCTTGGTTTGGTTGAACAAAATAAAATTTAAAAAGCGCAAACTCCAAATAATTCATGAAGAAAAACACATCAATCTGAGTAACACGGGACTGAAAAGTCTTTGTGTCGGGTTTTCACAGGCTTCTCCTTCAGTCTTAAACTCCAGCTGGAGTCAGTGCGTTTCCACGAGTGATATTAATATTATATGATTTTTTATTATACATCTTAGAGTTCAAGCAATAGTATACAGTTTGCTGTTTGTAATTAGAACAATTTCCTGTGAATTAAACGTCATTATAATTTAAAGATCCCTGCTCCTAAATCTTCCTGCAGGCACTATGAAAAAACGCTGCGTTATAATGTGTTTTTCCTCATTGTGCTGACTACAAATACAATCCACTCCCTACTTTTGTTATTTGGTACATTTTGAGGAAAAGATGCAGAGAGGGAGGGTGTATGCAAAAGCTTGAATGCCTGAGCGAAGCGCTGCCACCAGCGGGATTCTCACTGTAGTGAAGGTTAAAGTGGCAACAAAGACAACAACGATGACGGTTTTCCTCCTGCATCATACCTTCCCTGTCTCTTCTTTATATATGTATGTATGTATATATATATATGTATATGTATACATACATACGTGTGTGTTTGTGTGTGTGTGTGAAGTTTGTTGGGTTTTTGTTTGTTTTTTTTTAGAAAAAAAAACGTCTTTTTTTTCCATGACCTTGTATTCCTGTGAAGTGGAATTCTGTATTCCTGATTTCTCTTCTTAAAATAGTGAGCACGTGTCCTCTGTATATTTCATGGAAAACTTTTCTATGAAACTAAACTTAATCTTTGTTGCAGCAAAATGCAGCGTTCCAGCTCAGAACTGCAAGTTTTTCTTGTTTCTGTCTGACCTCATGTTCTATGAATGCAGAGGCTGCATTAAGAATAATTAAGTTCAGTTTAATTAATTTATTATTTCCAAATGTCCTCGTGTGCCCTTTAGTACAGCACAATAGACAACAATCAAAGCCCACGTGCCCCACTTAAAACATTACATTTTGTTTCCTTATTTTAAAAATACAAAAACTTATTATTCTTATTTATTGTAATGCATGTGTATACAATGCAATTAGTTATAAGAAACAGATTAAAGAGCAAGGTAAAACAGCCCTGGAGTATTGCAGCAATTCCCTACATACGAAATACAGTAAGTATTAACTACATGCAACAAGAAGTGTTCGTTCAGTTTTTTTCATTGTTATTTTTGTTCAGAGTTCCACAGAAATTCGGGATGACTTTGATCTGCAGGTGTTCCAAAGAATTTCAGCTTCTGTGAAATTTTTGATTTTATAGGCTTGATCTGTCCATCTGGTTCGGTTTATTTTCTTAATATATTCAAAGTTTCACAGCTGTAAAATTAGATACATCTTGGCCAGTTTTTCTTTTGCAGTTTCTCCATTCTTGCACAGCTTAAACGGTTTGAGGACTTGGCTGGAGGAAGCTGTTTTATCTTTAGGAGGAGGTAAAAATAAAAATAAAAACAAGCTGTTGCTTCAAAGTAGATTTAAAATCCAAATGTGTCTCGTTTACAGAATCTAGGCTTTACTTGAGGTTCCTGTGTGTTTATTTCATTTTGAATTCCCAACCCAGACAAAGCGCTTCATGTTGGGCCTGCACTTCTTTAAAATGAATGTACGCTCCAATCAAATAATGTCTTTATTTTCTCTCACTCTCTTTTCTTTTACCTTTTTACTACATATTTATAGTTGCTGCTCATGTTTCTTCTGGATGATTAACATGTGCAAAAGCAGTAAAACCTTTACATAGGTGGAAACAGAAATGAACATAAAAAGCCACCAGACAAAATGATGGAATCCCACGTTCCTTATATTACAGGTCGTTGCAGAGGGTGAGAACTCTGCATCTTTGTAATTTGGCTCTGTTGCTTGTTAATCCATAAGCTTACATCATTTCACCCACTGCAAGTTATATATGAATAAATGCATCACTTCCCAAATGACGTTATGGTATTCCAGCAGCAGAAACAAATGTTGTAGGTCAGGTGTCACCGTGAGGTACTCCAGTCATGGATGTGGGAAACGTAAAGAAATCTGCAGATAGCAGAAACATTTTTAAGATTAGTGTCTGAACATTTTCATTTATAGTTATTGTGATACGTGAAGTTGACTGTATTTACCTTAGTTTAGAGTTTAGCTTGCATATGTTGCCATACACA